AAAGGGCCATAAGGTGTCGACTACCGATTTAGGTCATGTTGACTTATTTGTAAATTTTGTCTTGCTGATCATTCTTACTATTTAAAGTTTTAATCTATATATTTAGTATAGTTTTCAAGATAATGAGCAAACCTGCAAAAACTTATGAAAAATCGTCATTAAAGGGCAATAACTTCAATAAGGTGTCTACTGACGATTTCAATCCCTTTACATATTTGTAGATCTTTAAAGTTTTTGTCGATCTATTAAAATTTTCGAGAGAAAAAAGGCAAAAACGAATAAATTAAAAAAAAAATCGTTATCTAAGTAAAATAATTACTATAAGAAGTCGTCTAACAGTTTTGATGTCAATAGACATTATGTAGATCTTATCATTTTGAACATTTTTGCGTCAGTCAGATTTTCTCTATCTATAGCGGTTTGCAAGATGAAAAACAAAGATGATAAACAAAAATTGCATTTCACCCCTATGTTCTATTTATAGCCATATCGGCCCTGTTTGTCGGCAGGCGGGGTCATCGAACACATTTTAAAAACTGAATACCCTATTGATGATTGTGGCCAAGTTTGGTTAAATTCCGCCCAGTAATTTCGGAGGAGATGATTGTTTGTGAAAGTTAACGGACGAAGAAAGACGACGGACGCAAAGCGATTGAAAAAGCTCACCTTGTTCTTTTTGGCCAGGTGAGTTCAAAAGAAATACAGACTAAAATTCATTTTGGATTATTTATAATTTTAGGTTATACAAAAACCCACCCGCGACACCGCGGATCCGTGATTGAATTGACTAGACTTTTCATATATCTGGCTTTTGGCTCCGATTTATATAATTTTTCGACAGGTGACCTATTCTGTGGTAGAACACAATGGTATTAGATCATGTAAAAATTTCTTGAAGCAAAATCAAGCTAACAAAAATGGGTGCAATGTTGGAGGATAGTTAACTGCTTTCCGATGATTTTATCGTGGATAGAAAATATAATAGATTAATTGTCCCCAAATTGCACCGATTGTTAGCTTGATTTCACTTCTTCTATTTGCTTTTACTTGACCGAGTACATTGTGATCTATCATAGAATAATCTGTCGAAAAGTTATATACACTGGAGTCAAAAGTCGGTAATATGAAAATAGTCTATTAGTAGGTTGATTTTAAGACAGGACTTTAAGTATTCGTATTGTAATTTAATGAATTTATGCAATGAATAAGATAGACAGGTTTCTCTGCTTGCAATAGCTTTCAGTCTGAACCCGTGTTTTCTGAATTCGTTTCTTGCTATCGGACTTTTACAATATGCAGCTGGATGGGTGTCAGAGTGAAACAGAAATCGCGCATCCTTCTGGAGAACCTAATTGTGTCCATAGTTTTACAAAAGCTCGTGTATCAAAGCTGATAGGCCTAAGTATACTGAAGATGCACAACAAGAGTGGACAACACAGTCGGAATATAATTTTCATTTATTCATTCATAATGACATTGTTAATTTTTATGTTATGATAACAAGATAAAACAAAAGCTATACCTGTACATACCACAAAATTTCGTTCGTCAAATAATGCCTTGGATTTTTTAAGATGGTCATCACGCTTTTTTTAAGTTGTTCTGCATTTAGCTGTAAATTGACATGTCCTGTATTTGCGTTCGAATTGACAGATCAAATGCAAAAGCTACATGTAGATGTAGAAAAAATACTTGCACTTAATCGCGGTGTGTGTGTGAGGGGGGGGGGGGGGGGGGGGGGGGGGGGGGAATTAGTATAACACACTACATGATTAGTTGCAACTTTTGGTCGTTGTTGTTTTTCATCATCATCATTGTTTTTTTTTTTAATTTTGGGTATTTATTTAAACATTTAGGTTTGATCTTGGGTTAAACAAAATTTCCACCTGGTATTCATTTCACAGACCCGAAACGATTGTAATGACAGAAAGGACATTCGGAAATCCAAATGATTTACCAACTAGTCCAAAAAGAATAAAAATTAGGAAGGATAACAAAGAAAGCCAAATTGATTAATTTAATCGGGAGCGACACAGATGAAGAAAGAGAAACCGTTGTATAAGGAGGAATAACTCTAGTTAAATTTGTATCGACAGAATGTTTTGAAATCAGTTAGACAATATTTCCTTATTTATTTTCTTTTCTATTTGAGTTTCTTCCCTCATTTCAAAAATGTTTCAATAATTGGTCACATAGGAAAATATTGAAATGAATAAATTCTGGAGGTTTAGATTGGATATGCAGATAAGGAAACTGTATAACTTTATGGAGAAATATAGTTTAGAATAATTTATTTCTTGATATATGACCATGTAGAGGACATGTCCACATAATAGGCATTTCATCTTCTACCATATTTCGTGTGCAATGTTGATAGAGTTTTCAAAATTTGGGAGTAGCTTAGATGCTTTCCAACTATTAGTTTTTCATTCGTGTCAACCAGTTCCAATCTTAGACGGTGGAGTATGGAGTGTAAATTTTGTTTGAATTCTACGTTTTTTAGAATTTTTTAAGGGGCATTAGCTGTCAACTTCATCTTCACCGATTTGACTTAAATTCTCATATTTGACTTATAACATACTAAAATATATATCCAAATTAAAAAAAGTCTAAAATAAACAATTAACAACGCATGGACTCGATAATATGTACCAAAATTTCGTGTGTATTTTTGTCTAGACGACGGTCATATACCCCGATATAAACAGAAATATAAACATAAACAGATAGCGTCCACGTGCAATTGGATTGTTCTAAGTCTGTTTGATGTCATATTGTAGGTTAAAAAGTATGTTTATCGTCGTTTTTACTGTGTAAGAATGATATTTTGTGGATCGAATCAGTCAACCAAATTGTTCATCCTTGTTTCAGTTTCAATGTTGACATTCTTTTCCTTTTAATAGCTGATTACATGCGTAACCCATCTCCAGCTAAGGGGTTAAATTAAAGGTAACATGAATACGGATTCAATGAGGTCGAATTATTCACTTGCAAGTGAATAATTCATCAAGGATGTTTCTTATCTTATTTTGACAAAATTGAACCAAACTGGCTGCTAAAAGCGAATTAGTATTTCACTATATCACTTCCATTAATGATTGAAAAAAAAATCATATTTTATTTTTTTTATATCTCGTAGCTAATGCCTCTTTAATCAATGACTATTTTAAAATTTTATAATTTACTTAAATATATAATATGTTTAAGAACAAATGGAGCGAAAGTCATAATGTGATAAAAGATAAAGTAATGTTATTCACAAAACATTATATCTGATTTGAACACTGTCAATTTGTCAATTATTAAAAAAAAAATTTTTTTTTGAAGGGATGCAACCCTTTTATACCCATGCTGCTGGTTAAGTTATCCATAGTCACCTGAGTTGAGTATGTAACTATGACACTTTCCATACCTCCAAAACATTCTCGTTTTTCCAATATACTGGTACCTTGAATTCAATAAGCTTCTTCTATGTACATATGTTAAGTCAATATTCAATTCTTCACTATGAATATGCATCATTCTTACAGTGTAGGAAAGTATAAAATGTATTTGTGGAGCTTTAGAAACTGAGAGAAAAGCGAGGCTCGCATGTTTGTTTGATTTATCCAAATTCTAGTATACGTATGCCGGTGTTCATGTACTTTATAAGATGTGGCAAACAATAATATATACAGATGAACGATGCTTTTTATGAAATGTACGTGTTACACAATACAGCATTATCAAACTGGTGTAATGCATTTTGTAAAGTACTTTATTGAACCTTTTCATCTTTTTTTACGGCAATGCACTGACATATAAAATTTAAAGCCATTCAAATGTTGTTTATTCCTTGGATAAAAACCTGGACCGTAATAAAAAAACCCGGACATACAAAAATGAATTTATTCTAAAAATGTCCTTTTCAATGCAATAACTAGAAATTTTATAAAGAATCTGTTTATCTAAGGATATATAGATTCCAAATATACATTTCCTTTGACATTTGCATTGGGTGTGTATAAAAATAGCTGTATTCTATATTTTGGAATAAAAGCATTGTAACTAAATTAAACTTTTATAACACCAAATAATGCAGGTTTGATGACATCTTTTTATCACAAATACTAACTTACATTGTTTGATGTTGTATATGAAGTTCAAGCATCTGTTTCACGTCTTACAAGAAAAGAAGTCTGTTTGTTTACATTTTTGATCATATTCACTCGAAAAAACCAGATCATATCATTTGAAAAAACACGATCCCAGCCGTACACTATACCTACTGTGCTTATAAGATAAAAGATTCTATGTCAAGCCAGCAACGATCACCAAGGGACGGTGCCACAAAATATTCAATTCATCTTATGCTCAGTACAGGCTTAACAGAGTATCCAAACTCAGAATCAAATGAGGATTAATTATTTCAATTTAAGTTTTCTTTCAATTATTAGTATCTTTTATATAATTATAAAATGCAAATAGTCACAGTTGGATCTTCATTATTAATTATTCAAATTATTTTGTTGTTAATATCTTAATACTTGAAGTTTGGACATGACTTTGATATACTTTGCATCAAATGTATATATGTATGTATATCATGTGTTAAGGTTCATCAAAAGGTATTGAAAAATATGGCCGTGTTTACACCACAAAATACAGTACAGGCAAACTGATGCATCTAGTCCATTTAAATCAATACTACTCACAACATTTATTATATTAGGGGAGTTTCTCAAACCTCTTTCCCAGCTTAGTTTATTTTGGCACCTTCTGCAGAAATGAAAAAAAAAAATGAATAGCAAAATCCAGAAAAGTTTATAATTTTCTGTAACATAAAATGCATTTAACTATCTAGTTCCTGCCATGCCGCCATTATGCCTTAAAACTTTTCCAGTTGCACAGGTTTGTCTGTACTCAGAGTAAAATTTGTGGTGTAAATACGGCCATATTAGCTAAAAGGTTATGATGAACCTGAAATTGAGATATCTTGTTTACTTAATATGGGAGGTAACTATGTATGATGTAAAATTTGTAACTGACTCTTAATTCCGTTATAGTTAATTCCAACCACTTCAAGAAGTTGATTCCCTTGGAACCTTTGAATGGTGAAAGATGGCAGACAACGAAGTAAGTTTTACCAGATTTTAATCATGAAAGATTGATAAAATAAAAAGGAAGTCAGTAAAATTCGAAACCGAAAGTAGGTTTTAGAAAGATTACTTTTCTGAGTGAGAGTACCTGGAATGACCCCTATATAGAGAGCCATATCAGTCGACCGGCAAGTATCTCAAATGCTGTTTGTCAATATGTTTAAACTTTGGACAATGAAATCATAATTTAACTACTTGAGGAAGGGGGAAAAGAGGGGGGGAGGGGGGGGGGGGGATGGGGGGCATTTTGGGTACACCCACTCAGGGGTTTCCAAAAAGGTATCCTGTCCACGAGTACCTGCACATTACAGTATGGCGGGATGAACTAATTGTTCATATCTATACCCCCACTTTAATCTCGATGAGTACATATCAGAATATCAAACTGGTCCAAGAAAAATCATCAATCAACTCAATAATAACGGTAAAGTATATAGCAAGTTCCTAGTACAAATAAAGCAATAATAAACAATATCATAGGAAAATATGATATAGGAAACCTAACGCAAGCTCAAAGCGCATGACCTGCTGATATAAAATAACTAGAACACACCCGTGACATCGCCAGTCCGTGACTGAATTAAAGTATCAATGTCTTATTTTTAGCCTGGATTTTATTTTCGTATTGTCATCTTATAAAGTCATGCTGATTATAAGGTGCACAGTTTTCTCTGCTTTCAAAATCTTTCTGTTTGAACCCGTTCTGTTTTTGGGGAAGGTTAACTTTCTGGTAGTAAGATCCGTCACGGCCAGACTGGGAAACTTGGTAGGCAATGCTCAAATTAAATCTGTACCGAAACAGTGTATTAAATGTCATCCTGTACACAATAACCCATGGTGATGCTCCTATTAAAGGAGGAAGATACAGAACATACATACATGTGACATATACTATTGGTATCGGTGTCGGATTCTACCCGGAACTTGTTAATTATTGGTACAATTAATTTTGTGGAAAACAAAAGGGCCTGGAATGGTGTAATTTTTAATCACCACTATTGTCCAAATTAGTTAATATATAAAGTTGAATTCTTTGGTTCGTCGTTTTTACGTCATGCCGGCTAACAAATTGGGCCTCGTTATTTAAGTAGTATAGATGTCACTCGTACGTTCTAATATCGGCGACTGCACTTCACTGTAGATTTCATACAGAAACGCCAACAACGCTACAGGTACTTCGAAGGCTAGATATTGTTTTATGCCCTGAAGAAACCCGTACAAACTTTCATTTCAGAAAAAAAACTGTACATTTTGGACAAATTGGTTGTATTTTATTAAAAATGAGCTGCTTAGTATAGGTTTAGGTGATATTTGGTATAATCAAGGTTTATTTTTAGATAGTAAGCTATCCAGTACTTTTTACTTGACAATTAAACAGCGCATGTTTGATTGTCTAAAACAAGATCTTGACAGCCAACTGAGTAATTTAGTTAAATGTTCAAGTTGTAGATATATGGTTCAAAATTTTTGTTTACAATATTACTTATGTAAACCAATACTAGTTATTTATAAGACATGTATTACCAAAATAAGACTTAGTAGTAATGATTTAGCTATAGAATGTGGACGTTTCTCTGCAATTCCAAGAAGTAATAGACTCTGTAGTTTTTGTAAAAATGACATTGAGGATGAGATACATTTCATTTTAAAATGTCACACTTATCAAGGTCTTAGATCTTATTTTATTAAACCTTATTATTGGAGAAAACCTTCTATGTATAAATATATTCAATTAATGAGTTCGAATAATCTTAGAGAACTATGTAATTTGGGTAAATTTATACTTCGTGCACAAAAACTAAGATCTAACATGTTGTAATATGTTTCACATTACCTTTTGCTATCTATGTATACTGTGTGTAGTATATATGTTGCATGCCTATAGTTATGACTTTGGTAAATAAAGATTATCTAATATTCAATAAAAAAAACCAAGAAACACACACAACAATATAATATCAAACATATTATAATTCAATTAATATTATGTTGACATTGACTCAAGTGCACCAGGTAATTGTATTTTGACTTTTAAATAAACAGGAGGCTTAAGTAGTTTGTGCGGAGAAATCTCTATATATAAAAAAAAACGAAAAAAAACCCCTCACATTTAACTATGAGGTATACTGCAAATAACATTGAATAAAGGATATTATGACTAATCTGCAGTGAGCACCAAGAGTCGATGCTTAAAGGGAAGTCCCTACTTGTGCTTAATGCAGATGAGTCAAACTCCTAAATTATTAAAAATAGATTCTTTAAGATTATAGATTCTGTGTCTAGCCAGCAAAGATCATCAAGGGACTGTGCCAGAGAATATGAAATTCTTCTTTTGACCAGTGCAGGCTTAACAGAGTATCCAAACTCATGTTAAAGAGTTACATTGAAAATAGTTATTGCAGATTATGTTTTCCTTTAATTATTAGTATCTTTTATATATTTATAAAATGCAAATAGTACATTGGGATCTTCATTATTCATTATCCAAATTATTTTGTTGTTAGTATGTAAATATTGGAAGTTTGGACACGATTTTAATATACTTTGCATCAATTCCTCTCTTTTTAATAAATGGTTGTCACATGTAAATAAAAAATTAACTTCATCTTCAACCTCACCCGAGGTGCACCTGAGACAAATTCGGTTTTGTCGAAGAGTACCCTGGTATCTGCCACATTCAATTTGCGATTTGTGAGCAGATATTCTTAATCTAGTAATACATTTCCTTTGCTCAAAAAGTCGCATTATTGACAAATAATTTTCAAAACCAAAAATTACACTTGAATGTTACATAAGTTCGTAGTTTACCATCTTTATGTATATCTAGCTGTGTATAATACATATCACGAAAAACATAATTTTGTAGTACTTTGAAATTTTAGGTCATACATGCACCTACTTTACAAGAAACGGTGAAAGACCATGTTCGAGAAAATTTATTTCATTTTGTCAGTGACCTTGCAAATTTTGCAAGTGAAGCAAAACGTGATGAAGCCCAAAGACAATACAAAATGTTGTTAAGTGTCGAAAGCAACCTGAAGGGCATATTAAAGGATCAGGTAACATTGTTTACATTCATAATAAATTAACATTAACACTGTAAATACTTATAATTGTTCAGGACTCTAGCTCGTAATTCTTTCAATTATAATCAAGTAATTTAGGAATATGTTTACAAATTCTTGTTTTTTTAATTCACTTTTGTTAGATTTGTTTTGGAGTAATGGGATTAAATTATAATAAAAGAGGAAACAAATTTAATATGTTGTTGATCATCAAAAGACAGGAAATAAGTCAACGAATGGTTTATCCTAAAAAATTTATTAAATTGATTTTACGATAATTACTTTTTATGGAGTCCTTGAATGACAGTAATGATAACATTCATATCAAGATACATTTTCTCTAATAAATTCATTTTTCGTTTTTAATTGCAGTTCAAACGATTACCAAACACTCCTGATGACAAATTATTTAACATGGAGGTGTTTAAAAAGACTGCTGATGATACTATTCTATCAAGAGCAATACTAAATCAGTTAAACAGGAATCCAGTTGCTTTAAAAGCAGGCTGGGACTATTATATATTAAAACAATCAGAAAGAACATTAGAGGCTTTACAAGGAAAGGTAGTTTAACCTACTTTCACTTTTTTATTTCTTAAATTAGGCTTGCTCATTATAAACTACATGTATTTTATCTATGCTTTTTTATTCATTATATATAACTTTATTGCAAAAAGTAAAACCCTGACGGATAACAATGCAAACATAATATACACAAGAAACATACAATACATGAAAAAAGTGCTAAACAGATAAGATAAGATAAGATAAGATAAGATATTTTATTTCCAATTATGGGCCCCAAAGGGCATAAACATTACAACATCAATAATTTTTTTCATAATACAATACAAACAATGAGATAAAAAAAAAAAAAAGTTAAACGAGAACTATTTAAGTTCTTAAAGAATACGTAGATAAAGAATCTATAGTATGTTGTTTTTTTTAATACTAATGCATTTTATTGCAAGTATGGTTGATATAGATAACAAACAAGCAGCCCAAAAAGAAAAAAAAGAAAAATAGATATCCACATATGTATAGTACACAAAAAGTTGGATCAATTAAATATATAATAATTAGCCAAAAAGAAAGTAGAAATTAAACATGTCCATGACTCATCCTGTGTCAGCAGCAAATAGGAAAGCATTATGGTTTCCTAAAGGCAGCTGACACCAGGGGGCGATACCTTATGGGCCATAGGCATGTAAAATGTGTGTAAATGTCTCTTTCCTACCTGTATCAAAAGCAAACAAGGAAGCATCATAGGTAACTTGAATGCAGTTGATACCAGGGGACGATGCCTCAAGGATATAAGAGAACATTTGAATAAATAATATATCTTAACAATTATTTTTTTTTTTAATCGGCTAGTATGTTTGTGATATTCAGATGAATATAATTTTCTATGTCCAATCAAATGTATATACACACATAGATTTCCTTTAACTAATCTTCACTAAGGAAGATGTTTGTATATAAAATTACATATTATTTTAAGTAACTCAACATTTTCTACACTAAATAACCAGATAATTTTGCTTTGACTGTTCATATGATTAAAATAAGAATTATATTGTGCAATACTAGCTAACATACAATTTCTATCATCCTCAAATTTGTTACAATCAAATAGAAAATGAGCCTCATCTTCGACAGTATTGGAAGAACATTTATTACATATTCTGTTAATTCGGGGAATACCCTGATATCTACCTAATTCTATTTGTAATCTATGAGAAGATACACGTAATTTAGTAAAACTTCTTCTAAGTTCAAAATTCTTGATCAATGTTAGATATTTTTCAAAACCAAAATTTGTTTTATATAAAAGGTAGGTTTTCAGTTTACTGTCTGAAAATTTATCTATTTGTTTTTTCCAACAGCTAATAAACAATATTGATAGCTTGGTTTGTATATATTTCTTAAATTTGTATAAGGATTCACAAAATGGAGCATTTATGGCATTTGTATAGTCAATACCAAGTATTTTAAAAACAACATTTATTGAACCATACCATGATGTTATATTCATGTGATGTAGTGTCTTTGATTGTGTATATGCCTCTTTTAATAGAGGAAAATTATTACCTAAATTCTCTAATCTATACCAGTACAATAACATTCCTTTTATAATATTAAAATATATTGGAAATCTTCCAAGTTCAGATAACACTGCAGCATTTGTTGTTTTCTTGTGTACCCCAAGTATAAATTTACAAAATTTTATATGAAGTTTCTCACAGGGTAAACCTGAATATAATTTTTCAAAAGATATATCTTCCTTCTTACATTTAGAGGAAAGAGAATTAAACATCCCCCATATTTCGCTACCATATAATAAAATAGGTTTTACAGTGTGGTCAAAAACATGAATACTTGTTTTTACATCAGGATTAAGTGATAAAAGATCTTTCCTTAATTTGAAATGAGCTTTCAGGGATTTTTTGTATAGTTCATTTTGAGCATAACTGAATGAACCAGATGAGCTTAAATATAAACCTAGGTATTTGTATTTTGAAACACATTCCAGATTTATATTCTGAAATGTGAATATCTGTTTTACATGTCTGCCTGCCTTGTTGAAAATCAGCACCTTTGTCTTATTAGTATTCACATTGAGACACCAATCTTTGCAAAATTTATCAAGCATTCCCAGCTTTTCTCGTAGTCCTTCAGCTGATGTAGATAATAAAACAATATCATCAGCATACATTAAACAATGTAGATCTTTGTCATTGACATTAACTGGGTCTCTAGTATCTGACAAATATCTGGGCAAATCATTTATGAATATCTTGAATAAATTCGGACTGAGGTTGTCACCTTGTTTGACTCCAATATCTAATGGGAAAAAATCACTTACTTGATTTTGAATTTTGACACATGATTTGCTAATTTCATACATACTTTTAATAATGTTATAAAAATAAGACCCACCCCAATATCTAGTAGTTTAATCTTGATCCCTGTATGTATAACAGTATCAAAAGCCTTCTGAAAATCAACAAAACAGGCAAACAGTCTACCTTCTTTTGAATTACAGTATTTGTTAATAAGACAGTTTAAAATAAACATATGATCTGCAGTTCTGGCTTTCCTTGTGAATCCAATTTGACTATCATGTATAATATTATGTTCCTGAAGAAATTTGTCCAGTCTTAGACTTAATATTCAAGTCAAGTTAATATAAATAATATATATATAAGTATATAGATAATTGACCAATGTGGACCTTATTTTCGCAATTCCATGGATTGCTTTATATAGCCTACAACACTAGACAAAATATCTTTATTGGGATCTAAAATAGTTTTAAGTTTAGAGTTTGAGTCAAGCTGGTTAAAATTAGGATAATGGGTTTTAATTGTATTTATAAGGGGATTTCTAATATTACTGGTATATATATTTATATATATCATTAAATGTAACTTTTTTTCTCACACATTGAATAACATGACAGTAGGATGGTCAATCTAGTGTCTGTCAATACATTATAATGGTACCGACAGTAATTTTAGGGAAGTCTGTAATTTCAGACATCAAATGAAAGGGCCGGATGCTGAATTTCTTGATTATATCTTGCCAGGGATTTGAGGGTGGGGGGAGAGGTGTGATAAAAAGATATAGGTAGAGTCAGTCATTGCGATTCATAATTGTTACTCACCAGGCAACATCACGTCGAGGACGACGTCGTTATTTTGGATCAGAAAGTGCAGAAATGAACAAGATTGTCCTACAAGTAAATCAACAGAAAGGAAAAGTAGAAAAAATGGATACATCTGGACCTCAGACAGGTGGTGCCACACAATCACAAACACCAAAAGAAGTAAGAGTTTTTATGGATTTGTGCATATTTGTTGTATATCAACTATCTTGGACAAGACTCAATTTAGGCCGAATATGGCCTTGAATTTAAACTTTATCATAAAATTTCAAAATGGCCATAATTTGGTTTTTAAATGGACCTATTTTAAAAGCCTTACTTCTGTTGAAAAAAACCTCATAAGAGTACAGCACATTTTGGATATATTGTCAAATTACGATGATTTTGTGCATTTTCCGGGCCTAAACGCTTGAGTAAACCCTTCGCCGCAACCTAGGATCCAAAATGTTCTGTAACCAAGATTTGCCAATAATGTATTGAATCACTAGACATAGTAACTTTCTGGATCTTGGATGGCGGCCAAAGTAAATTATGCTAAAAACTGTTAAGAATTTTTGACAAAAACTGACGTTAGAACTAAAAAAATGCATACTAAAAGAGTCAATACTCTGTCACTTTTAATGTTATGTGCCCAATTGGAGTTATTTTGTATTAATAATAATATCATAACTCTTAGGGCCAATTTTAACCCTTCGTGAACTTACTCCAATCTATGAATGTTGATCAAATATTTCAATCATTCGCTGACATCTGCCATTCACTCTATTTCGTGATGTTTTCTAAAAGGTGTAAATTCTACAAATTCTGCTTTGTCCTCGGTTATTATAATTTGATGACCAAGAGTTGCGTCGGATGTTTAGAACAATAGTCAGCATTATTACTGTCTGTTTCAGTTCTTGCCATGACACGAATAAAAAGATACGGGGTGTGGTAAAAAACCCAGCAACAATACAAAACAATTCAACCAAAAGACCTTTCGATGTTAACCTAAGAGAAGGTTTGGATGAGGTACGCGTTATAAAGAATAATAGATCAAAATGCCTCAAAAAGAAAAAAAATGGGTAAAATCATAAAGGATTGGCAATAATACACCTTATCGCTATTTAGTCCAATCCGGAAAAAACAGTCATTTAGAAAACTTCCTATTTGGGTCAACAGGCCTTGAACAGGGAAACAACAAAGGTCATCAGTAACGAGCTGAGGGAGGGAAAAATTAGAAAGCGATCAATAGGAAACTTTGATAGATTATGATCCACTTTTTCGAAACTCAAATTATAGTCAAAAAATATTGTGTTTGAAGTATTTACGATGTTTTAAACAGATCTCATTAAAAAAAGTATCATGCATGGTGCATTGTTTAAACAGGGACCCAGATAGCTTCAACTGGATGAAAAAGTTGTGTAATTTTAGAACTTATCCGGAATGGAATAAATAGCGATTAGGTGTATGGGGTGATACCCGGTAATATATACGACAATTTATCGGAATATTATTTGAAGTTCAATTTGTGTCCTGCATTCTCCTTTTAAAATTGTAAACGAAAAAATGTCGTTTTGTCAAGAACTAAGTAAACAAAAATGCTTCAACGGCAATTTATCGAAATTTTATTTGAAAAAGCAATTTTCTTAAAATTCCTAAATTCGTGATTAGCTCTGACCCACGAAATCCACAAAAATACTAGTACCACGAATAAAAATGAATCCATAGTAATATGAAAATACTGAAATGTCCGTTTTGATTCATACAGTTCACTCCTTTGGGAACTGTGTACATCAATCAATATTATCATTTTCAAAATTTTTCGTAGATATTTAATCTTTTTCAAGGTTGGACATCCAGCAGATCGCCTTACGCCGCTTTGGCATAGAATTGAAGATAATTACTTTTCGGTTACGTATGCCCTAATTAACTTAAATGATTATAAACATTTGGTTCTTGGATAACAGAATCTGTAAACGATGTAAATTTTTTTCTATTCGTATGATGACAGAACGAAGTAGTATTGTTATATAAATACAACTCGCTGAACTAGTATACATTTTTGTTTAGGGGCCAGTTGAAGCCGGCCTCCCGATGCGGGATTTCTCGCTGTGTTGAAGACCCATTGGTGGCCTTGAGCTATTTTCTGCTCTTTGGTCGGGTAGTTGTCTCTTTGACACATTCCCCGTTTCCATTCTCAATTTTAAGAATCATTTTAAATGATGTGGTGATCAATCATATAAGAAGCCCAAAAATAACAAAACATTCAGTAACGTTTTGATTGAGTAATCACTTGTTTAAACCAATTTAAAGTATATCAATTGATAAAAGAAATATAATTTTCTGATGATTAAGTATGGGTTCTCATGGCATATCACTAACAAATGAAGGCTATGCATGATCTTTCACGATCAATTTTGGTTAAAAATTTTTAAAAATCCTACATTTAAAAAAATCATCTGAACCGTCTGCAAGACCCCCCCCCCCCCCCCCCCCCCCAAAAAAAAAAAAAAAACCCAACAAAAAACAGTTACTTTGTCCTATACTTTCTGGCATACTTACTGATTAGTTTCAAATGTCGCATGATATATTATAATTTGACCAGAATAGATTATAAAACGTGTTTTTCTTTAATCAGTTGCATCTGGTTATACCTCGCCTTTTTTGAGAGACACATGTTTTTTTTCTACACATTTTTCACGCTTTTTGATGATGCGACCGTTTTCCGAAGATATTGCATTCACTCTCCGGTACTTGATCTTTGACGATCCTATCGCAATATACTTGATCAATTGTTACTTATTCTTCCACGGTCATTTGTCTCGATCTACCAAATGACAGTCGTGTAGATGTTCCAGGTAAATTGGCTTCTTACTCGCTGGAAGAACTCGTTTAAATTGAAATTATATTAGAAGGAGAGCAGAATTCACAAACAAAACAAAAGACAGAAGATATTAAGGGGACAATTGCAACTCATAAGTCGAAGATAAATCGACAGCATTATGGATTAAATAAAAACTGACATAAAGATAATAACAGTCTACAAAACCTAAAGATTGAGCAAAAAGAACCCTACCAAAATCCCGTAGTGATTTCAGGTGCCTCTGAAGGGTTAACAAATACCACCCTATGGATCATGAGGCACCCGTCATGTTGCTCATTGTCTTTCTTGCACAACAGACTTGACTGGAGTGAAGATGAGGGAAGTTGCAATTTGTCAAAAAATTGGGGTTACTAATTCTTAACAAACAAAAACTAATGATAGTAAAGAGTGAAAAGCATAATCGTTCAAGTTTTAATAGGTATACTCTTGGTGAGACCTCAATTTCAAAATATTTCACCTGAATGTATCTTTGTTTAGATATCTAGAGCGCAGACATCAACCAACAGTTGTGTGTTCTGTGACAAGAAAGGTATTTTCTTCTGCTATGACTGCAAGTTTGCATTTTGTAAACCTTGTAGAGACAATCATGATAAACTACCGCAATCAAAAACACACTCTGTAACCGATTTGAAAAGTGTTAATCCATCAGCAGTTAGATTAATATGCGAATTACACAAATCAGAATAGACGTTTTATTGCATTCCATTAAAAGAATCGTCAAAACCAAACTATCAGATATGAAAGACAAATTTAAGAGTGTTTCTAAATTGACAGCAAAAACTAAGATGGTTTACATACCAAGATTAAACGAGGAGGGAAAAAATGCTGTTGCAGAAATTCGTTCTTTTGAAAAAGATTTACAGAAATTAATAGAGACAAAGGCAGATATCAAAGTCAATGAGGTTGAGGATCAAAGCAAGTGGAAACTAGAGGAGTTACAAAGTGTTTGGCAAAATAAAGACAGAGTTCACAGAAAACAAACATCTGTTTATGAAAGTCTTGAAACACTTATGATAGAAGAATACCCTGTCTCATTTGTGGTGTCTTATCAAACTCTAAAGAGGGATGTGTGCGATTTGACAAGTGAGGCAAAGGATGATACAGAACCATACCACATACAAGCGCCAGATTTGAAAGGATTTCTCGATGAAACCATTCATTCCTTACATGAGTATAGAAAAGTGTAAGATTCACATTTAATTTAGAAATCAAAAACATTAAAATATTTAAATAAATGCATATTACAATTACACAGTTCGGCTCACCCCAAAACTGGCTCGATAAACCTTTCATGAAAATAGTAAAGGTTTGTGAAGTGAATTGGGATTTATGTGTGAAAAGGACCGAAATATACGTGGCTTACTACCTTGTCAATGAACTTAGACCATAAACTTAAAATAAATCATTGAAACGTAAAGCATAAACTAGTTTTGCTATTGTGGAATGTTTTTCCACTCATCAAATGAAGTTTACAAAAAGAAGTTTGATTGCAGATCAGTGACTATCGGAGAAAATAGGCGGAAGATACCTAAGTGATATTCAAACTCTAGGTCGAAGACAAACCGACAACGCCATTGAAAAAAAAACGAAAATATAAACAACAGTCTACAAAATACAGCATAGAAACCCGATAACAGAGCAACACGAACCCAGAAATGATCTTTAATTCAAAATTTGATATTAGATAGTGGAGCGAAAAAACGCTTGAGCAACACGAACTGCACATAAAAAGGAATGATCGCAGGTGCTCCTGAAGGGTAAGCAGATCCTGCTTCATTTGTGGCAGCCGTTGTGTTTTTCATGCAAGTGCAAACCTGGTGATAAGTCAATAAGTGTCAGTATATCAAACTCATGCACCCAAAATAGCATTATTACAGCATAATAGAATCATATAAAGTAATGTGTATTTGTCTTCCTGTTTGCTGTTGTGTTGTGCTTCAAGCACAAAAGTGTAGAATATACCAAGGCCAATAAAAAACATAAGTTGGAGAAAAAAGATAACACCATGATTAGATGAAATACGACGAAAAGACAAACACCAGTCCACAAACACTACAAAACTAAATAATTAACAACACGAACTCCACACAAAATAAACCGGAAATGAGCTTTCAAGTACTCTGGAAGGGTAAACAAATTGTTGTGCCTAAAGCTGAAACACATATCCTGGATAATGCAAGGCACACTATTGATTGGTAAGTACATGACCAAATTTAAACGTAAAGCATAAACTAGTTTTGCTATTGTGGAATGTTTTTCCACTCATCAAATGAAGTTTACAAAAAGAAGTTTGATTGCAGATCAGTGACTATCGGAGAAAATAGGCGAAAGATACCTAAGTGATATTCAAACTCTAGGTCGAAGACAAACCGACATCGCCATTGAAAAAAAAACGAAAATATAAACAACAGTCTACAAAATACAGCATAGAAACCCGATAACAGAGCAACACGAACCCAGAAATGATCTTTAATTCAAAATTTGATATAAGTCAGTGGAGCGAAAACTGTAGTTTTATTTTATATAAAAACTTTACATAGTCACGTCTTTTTACCCAACTCATTGAGTGCTAGTCATGCAATATTTGAGACCTGAACTATGACCTTAAACTAAAATACATGTAAATGAAGCGTACAGTATAGGTCAAAGCGACCTACTTTTTAGAGGCTACAATTCTCCCGAGGATGCATCTTTAAAATTTTGAAATACAATAAATTGAATTCAAAAAAGGTTTAGATAGGTAGTACGAGTAACATTTATTGAGACGTTGGTACAAGCCTCATGATTCATCCAAATTTACTTTAAAGTATCTTAGTTTTTAAGATCTGATCTCAGATTTAAAGAATAATTGCAGTCAATGAAAACTAAACTATAGGTCAGAGTCCAACCTTTTTATAGGTGGCTGATATACTCTTCATAATATATCATTACGCAATAGCATATAGTTGAAAGTTACTTATTGTTCAAGATATGAATTCGAATGTAAAACTTAATCGAAGCTAGTAAAGCGTAAAATGAAGGTCAAAGGGAAATACTTTTTGTGTAGTATCCTTACACCAGATTGTATGCTAAGCTGTAGATGACGTAAAAATGAAAACTGAACTCATTGCAAAGTGATATTAAAACTGTTATAAAAGGCACTGACCATAAGACTTGCGCCATGCAACATTGATCTGATAGTCAATCTCTTCAAAATACAATGTACATCTGCATACAAAATTATATGAATATATTTGGTAATTTTGCTATGTAAATGTTTATCTGTTGTAAATATAAGTTCTTATTTTTAACAGTTTAGAATAGAAGATATGCTGGGAATGTGCAACATACTCTTCAAAGAAAAGAAAGCAGAATATTGACGTACAGAGTTCTAATATATATATATATATACATTAGATATCAGAATTATCAAAAGTAATGAAATAGTGTGAAGTTTAACAAAATATATCATGATAAGTTATTGATTTGATTTTTAAGGTATATATAATATGTTCAAAGTACTGTGTAATCTTTTTTTTTTTAAATATCTTATTCCTCTTGTATTTTCATCAAAGGTTCTAATATGTGACAAATATTTATACATTTTTATTTGACTTTATTTCGCATTATCAAAATAAAACGAGATTTGTTATAAGGTTTAAATATGATCAGAGATTTGCTAACTATATGGCTAATTTTCAAAAAAAGGATGAAAATTCTTGCACCAAATGCAGTTTATCAAGATAAATAAAAATGCATCTCATCTTCTATTTCCATACAGTGAGCCCCAATTCTAATTCTTGTTCAAAATCTTCTCTTAGGAAATGAAATGTTTTGAGTAAACATCGCATTTAAGCCTTCAAAAACCTTGTGTGACTGGTTTGATATTAAAAAAATTTCTGGCTTTATCACTACTTTTGAGGTAAAAAAACACAGTGCGTTGAGCACACTGTTCTGTACATCCTATTAGTGAACATTTTAAGAGATTTATCAACGAAATATATGTACTCCAATATTTAAGTTACAAAATGATGTGTACTTGTATACATGTAACCATACTCAGTCTTGTCAGGATAAAAAAGATTGTGCATGGTGAACGAATCTAGTACTAAAAATATCCATGATTTCATTGTTAATGTAATATTCAAGATAGGAGTTATCTTTCTTTGTCCATAATTGTTGTTGAACCAATTCATAGTACAGGCTTCAAATGCTTATAGCAATGCAATGTTTTTTTAGTTCCGATTGCAAAATGAATTCAATCTTTACCTTTCAGGTCGCACGGACTATGAGATCTAACATGACTAAATGATAGTAAATATGGTTCCAATTTTTTTGTTTGAATACTTGATTGATTTGAAGCAATTTCTTTTCCATATGTTATAATTGTTTTCGATATAAATCATTCTTAAATATATAATTGTCGAAATCCGGATATGGTGTACAAAAACCTTTGCACCTTTTGTTTGCGGTATATCATCTTTTCCGCAAGTTTATTGTTTTCTGTTAAGTATTAAATTTTTAATTAAGATCCATTTATTACATCGGTGATCCGTTTATTTGGCAATCGCCAATGGCAGTCAGCAGGGTTTAAGAACATTTGTTGTTCGACCTGTTAGTCAAATGCGTTTTGTTAAAATATACCTTATCACTTTTTTGGTCTTTTGGAAAATGTTGTTTGTGCTGTATTTAGACCCCTTTAACAAGAAATTTGTTTTGCATGCACACGTATAAAAATTGCGGTTTTTATCCAACGCAATCATAGGTTTGAACGTTGTTTTCAATTTAGACTTTTATATATATATTTATATATATCATTAATGCTTGTTTAGAGAATACTGATTATACTTGAAGTTCTTATAGGAGGCATTTTCAAAATAGATCGAATGCATGCAATCGACGATTTTTTCTCATTTGTCAATAATGTGCCTGAGAGACTATGCATTTGTTGATATACTATCATCTGAACTACAATAAGACCAGGAGTGTTGAAATATTTAACATTATACAGGTTTACCATGCTTTTCAAATTTTCGATACAATTTTTCTATGAAAATTTATAAATAAGAAGACACCGTTGTAAATAAGACTTTGGATTTGATGAAATATAGTGCTCAATTTTGTTATCCATTCGTTTGTTGCGTTTGAGCTTTTGATTTTGCCATTTGCCTAGGGACTTTCCGTTAAGAATTTTCCCCGGAGTTTGGTATTTTTGTTATTTTATTTTTGCATAAATAAAACAATATCCTATAAACAAAGGAAAAAAATAGAGTCAATAAATTTGTGATTCTGTCGATTATCGATTTTATTATGTTCATTATGTCACAAATCTTTATATAATTTACATGACAATAACGTATCTAATTTGATTTGATTATACCTTATCACGATTTCTTGATCTTAACTTTTACCTCATGTCTGACCATCTGTTAACCTACATTCATTTTTATTGTTGTTTTGTTGCTTAATATGTTCTTATATATGTGTTTATGTTTGGGGAATGATGTTTGTGGATCTTTGGTCGTCCGTCTGTTACCTTTAACACATTATGATTTACCTAACACCACATTAGTGTATTATTATTGGCAATTCAGAAATATACTGACTGTATTTTAAGATAATCATTCATCACTCTGGAAATTACATTCTGTTTTTGGTTATACTTATCCAGTAGTGAGGCTTGCTGAAGAAAGGAAATGCAGGATATATAAACAACATAAGGAACAAGAAAATTTGATGTCAACATACGATCAGTTATAAAATCGAACAATCATCAGATGTTTAACTAATGAAACTTACTTTTAGAAAGACAAGTCATGCACTAACTGTTATTGGATCTTAACGTTAATGTTCCTCTGTTTGAATACCTGTCTCGATCACTGCATTTGATTGATATACTAGTCTTCTGTAAGGTTTAATTTCCTTTACTGCTGTACTTATGTTACAAAGCATTTTGAGTTAACCTAGCTTGAAATTTATTAAGTCTAAGAATTCATATTGGAGATACCCTTAAAGAGAAAAAAAAGTAGCTGTTAACTACATACAGTAACAGTTAATTCCATATTAGTATATAGGTGTTCTAAACACATAAACTAGTGTCCATTAACTAGTGAACTTTAATACAGCGAAAAATATAAAGGTTACAAATAAACAACAATAACCACATCAAAAAATTAGCAAGAGAGTATGACAAACCTTTAGACAAAAGACAACATAAAGGGTAAAAAAAGAAGAAACAGACATACAGTCTAAAAAACACATCACAAGACTGTACAACACAGAAACAAACTCAATCAATAACTCAAGAGACATGGAAGAATATATATAAGCAGTTCCAGTTTCTCAAATGGTTCACATCATTTTGCTCGTATCAAGTAAAGAAGCATTCGAATTAAGATGTCATAGATGTAAAAGGGTATCAGGAAATCCGGCTGTTTCATATATTAAAATGATGTCTATAAAAATGTTGTTGAATGTGTTAAGTTTAACAATTAATACCTCTTGGTTCATTGGATTCTTCAAGGTATTTCCGATAGCCATCAAAGGTGACGAATAAATAAAGCGGTGGACGATACTAGAAAGGACAATCAAAACCCATAAGCTGAAAAGAACCCGACAATATAATTGGAAAAAAAATGTATGACGACAAAAATTAAACAAGTCTACAAAAAACTCCAGATCAAACATGTCAATAAAAAACAAAAACCAAGCATACTGATTGTTTCAGATATTTTTTGCTATCATCAGAGCGGCTTTGTATGCCTTCGCCGCAATCCAAAATGCATTAAATGTTACGTCGTTCCGTCTATCCGTCTCTCCGTACTTCTGTCTTTTCGTCCGTTCCATTTTTGTTGGAAAGCAAGCTTGAGCGGGGACATTCGTGTCCTAAAATATACTATTCATTTATTTCTTAATATGATTTGTCTCTTCCTAAAAAAATAGTTTTATTCAGTTTGAGCATATACCATGAAAGAAAATAGAACTGATCGTTTTAATTTGTTTTGAACTTTAGAAAGAGGAATACTCGTGTAAACTGTTGCATAAGGAGAGGGACTTTGATTGTAGCTACCCAATAACAGATGTTTATTTTTTTAAGTATCCACATTATATCAATCATTCATTAATAAAGGTAGTTTGCTTCATGCTAGCTGTGGTGATAGATTGTTTATAAGTTTTCCAAATATTTTGACCTGGAGCATCACTGAAGTAACATTAATTGTCGAGATATGCATTTTGTGCATTAAAATTAGTACCGTTAATGTTATTATAGATTATGTGGAATTCGGAAGGAGGCATTTTTTAGCATTTGCAAACTGAGCAATATAACTTTGTCTGTATCGAGGTTGCAATAAGACAATTACAGGGGAAGTTGGAACTAAATATAAAAGAGAGGTGGCATATACAAAAGGTGTCGTCAAACGTCCAAGTCGAAATCTAACTGCAATTGGCATGGCAAAATCTGATCTGATCTGATTTGTGTTTTGAAGACCCTTCTTTGTCTTTTTGTCTTTTCGGTTTTTGACATGGCAATTGCAGTTAGATTTCGACTGATTCAAAATTTTGCAATGTTTCAAGTTACGTTCGGCAGATATATTATAGGAAGAAAAGTTTCATTAATGTAGCTTCATTTAGTTTTGGAAAATAAGAATAGAGGGACATCATTCAAAAACTACCGTTCTTGTAAAATCGCATGGATAAGAGCGAGAACACATTAAATAAGTGAAAATAGTTAAAATATTAAGGTATATTAACTAAAATCAAATTTAAACAGAATAAATATATATATATATAATAAATAAGTCTAAATTGAAAACAACGTTCAAATCTATGATTGCGTTGGATAAAAACCGCAATTTTTATACGTGTGCATACAAAACAAATTTCTTGGTAGAGGGGTCTAAATACAGCACAAACAACATTTTTCAAAAGACCAAAAAAGTGAAAAAGTATATTTAAACAAAACGCATTTGACTAACAGGTCGAACAACGGATGTTCTTAAACCCTGCTGACTGCCATTGGCGATTGCCAAATAAACGGATCACAAGATGTAACAAAATGAATCTTTATTATTAATTTAATACCAAACAGAAAACAATAAACTTGCGGAAAAGATGGTATACCGCAAACATGAGGTGCAAAAGTTTGTACACCATATCCGGATTTCGACAATTAATGTCTCTTCAATGATGTTAGGAATCGAAACGGTATTTGGAAGGCCATATAATTTACCTCAATTTAGGATAGACTCTTGAATTTTGAAGAGTCGAAATAGGATGAACGGATCATATAAACCCGAATATTATCAGCTGTAGTTAGAGGGGGCGATAAGGCTTCTGCGCAATCCTAGGCGGAATTGTAGTAGAAGTGATAAGTGAAAAGTACAGGTTCCAATCTCTGTTGGGGACGAAGTAAAGAATCAGGTCTATTTTAACATTGTTAGGTTGATTCTCTAGGCACTTTATATATATATATTTATATATAGAAAAGGGTATACATTCCTCAAGCGCCTGTGAAATGATCTTTTGAAGGGTATTTTTATCAACTTCAAGTATTTAAGAACTGCTTTACATTTGAATCTGTAATAGGGAAATGCAAAAAATTAAGAAACAGAAATGAGAAAGACAGATATTTAAGTATGATGCCACAATTATATGACACACTATATATATAGGAGCTTGTTTCAGGAAAAAAATGAATTGTTGATTTCATGCAGTTAAAACAAGACCAACAATAGAAATACAAATCTTTAGTCAGACCATCACTAGAATATGTCTGTTCAGTTCGGGGTCCTTTCTTTAGTGAGGATATGAATAACTGACTAGAAAAAGTGCATTAAAAGGCTGCAAGATTAGTCACTAACCGACAAAGATACATCTCACAAGTGTTTAGTTACACGATAAATAATCTAAAATGGACAACCTCAGCTCAAAGAACAAAAGAAGCCCGCCTTGTCATCTTCTATAAAAAAATCAAATCAACTGATTGCCGTCATACAAACAGACAGATTAATTCAACCGTTCAGATAGTCAACACTCGTTATTTTCCAAGTACCATTTTAACATGACACAACCTTCTACAGAGATAAGCGACCCCAAGGAGATGCCAATGCAGCTCTATTCATAAAATAGAGAATGGAAATGGGGAATGTGTCAAAGAGAAAACAACCCGACCAAGGCAGAAAATAACCGAAGGCCACCAATGGGTCTTCAACACAGCGAAAAAATCCCGCACCCGGAGGTGGTTTCAACTGGCCCTTAAAAAAATGTATACCAGTTCAGTGAAAATGGACGTCACACTAAGCTCCAAAACATATAAATGAACTAAATTAAAAAAACATACAAGATTTACAAAGGCCAGAGGCTCCTGACTTGGGATACATGTACCAATAGTTAAAATCTTTTATCTCATTATAAAACCGAGAAACAAAATAAAAATGTGTATTATATAAAAATGATATTATTGATTTTGTTTTATAATTTAATCAAATTAAGTTGACCGTAAATACGTTTCCACTAAGCAATGTGTAGTACAAAGTGACATAAACTTCCGAAAGCGGTCACTACAAATTAGTAAAAATAGAAAAATAAAGATGTATTTAAGCCCCAGTCATAAGTGAAAAAACTGTTTATCCTAGATAACATGAAATACTTGTTTTTACAAAATATTATGAACAAAGTACACTATTTACTTTGTAAGTACATACATAGCTATGAAATCGTAAAGTGGCGGGTTGTGGATTTTTAATTTCAGTATATATGACCGTTTTTGCTCTATCTTTAGAAATAACGTTTATTCTGAAAAATTCTCAAGTACATGATTTTACTGTCAAATATTACTGTATAAAATAGATGTTTTCTTAGTTATGTACATCATTTATGTCTGTAATCGGTATCATGTATTGCCTAATAGTTTTATTTTCCACAGTTATTCTTTATTTCTTTGCACCCTATTATTCTCTTTTTTTTACTCATACTTCTCTATTCACTATTTTTTTGGGCCAGGTACCTACGGAACCGTAGCTCTTATTGTCAATATGCACCTTTTTGACAATTTGTGGACCAAATTATTATAAGGGCAATAAGAGCTACGGTTACACAGGCACTTTAATTGTCTCTGAAAATATAGGTAATTTTTTTTCAGAGACAAGTGCCTGTGGCTAATCACCATTCATGTATCTAGATTCACTTAACTGTAACTTTTGTTAATATTTTATAAATGGGTATATGGAAGAATTTTAATACCAGGATTAATGTAATTTTGTAATATATAAAAATTGTATTTATTCCTGTTTAAAAATCGGACAAAGGGAGATAATACTGATAAACCATGTTTTTTTTTTATTCTTTATGGGAAATAACTCCGTATGACAAAGGAGTAGGTCCGGTAAGGGCCGATTTTGGCCTCAAATTTCAGATTTTTCTGTCGAAAGATTTTGGACACTTTTTAAACACTTAAGTGTCTATTTCAGTTGATTCAATTAGTTAATGTGAAAGATTTTTACTTATTTACTCATTAAAAACGCTCCGATTCAAGCTTAAATAGGAAAAATCTGTCAAATATGCCAAAAAATGTCACTTTTCAGATGGTTTTTGTCAAAAATACTAGTGGCCGCATCCGTGTTCATCCTCAACTTTTATATATGTTATGTATTATCATCAAATACAACTTACATTTCAATATTAAGAATGAACACAAATGCGGCCACTTTCATTTTAGACGGAAACCGTCTGAAACTAAACTAAAATGCTAAAATTGTGAAGATTTCAGTAATTTGGCATGACTTAATGATGCTAGTACCCAATATATATGCATTGTATTGTCAAAAACAGCCCATATTTGTGTAGCAGAATCGTTCTACTTTCCAATAAATAACTAAAAGTTTTCATTTTAACAATTTTGTAAAACTGCTATATTTTGGGGCCAAAAAGGGGTCTTACTGGACCTACTCCTTTCAATATGAACTGTGTATAGAGTTGGACCAACGAATTAGTAGAATATTGTCAGTGTTATAAAAGAAGCAGTCACTAAAAATTTCAGACGGAAGAATGGCTACTCAAAAAGTAAGATGGGCCGATATTCATAGGAAAACCACCCAAAATGAATGTTTTATCTAAAAAAAAAAAATTCAAGGAAGTAAATTAACGTAATCGAAAGTAGAAAATCAATTTTCGTAAGCAGTATGAAACAAAAGTCAAATAAGAGATTTAAAAAGAATAATAAGCGAAACTGCTACAATGTTACTGTAGGTAGATAAAAAAGGACTGTCAGATTTGAAAAAAAAATAATTTATATTATACATACAAAGATTTTAACAGTAGGAAATCTTTGATTTATGGGTTACACTAATGTCCTGACAATGTCCTGACCTACTTCAACTTTGTACTGACTAATGTCCTGACCAATATGAAACTGTTAAATACTTTTTTTATTTTTAGTAACATTGACTTTAAATTTGGAACCAAGCAAGATGACAACATTTATTTAATAAATACAAGAAAAAAAAAAGAAAAAAAATATTTTTAGGAGGTAGAAAACTTGACCTGACCAATTTTGACTTTTGTTGATTAATGTCCTGACCTATATGAAACTGCTACATACTTTTTTATTATTGTAACGATTGACTTCAAATTTGAAACCAAGCAAGATAATAACATATATTTAATAATTATTTGAAAAAAAATTGGAAAAATAACATTTTAAGGATAAAAAAACTTGACCTGACAAACATGACCAACATCGACTTTGCCGTGACTAATGTCCTGACCAATATAAAATTGTAAAATACTTTTTTATTATGGGTATGATTGACTTCTTATTTGAAACCAAGTCGAATTATAAAGTTTTTTTTATACTGATCATAAATAAATTGGAAAACAATATTTCAAAGGTAATAACAACTTGACCTGACCACCATCAACTTTATTCAACTTAATACACAAACAAAAACGTTATAAGTTCTTAACTTATACTAACTATCATTGAAATTATATTTATCCTATCCATAAAACACAACAACCAAAGCAAATAAATATTGTTAAATGAAAAGATAGGGGAAATATAAGTACAGGTTGCTGACTGTGAGTATTGCTTACCCCTCCTTTCATAACCCTATTTGTTAATTTGATTAAGTGTAAGCAAGGATTTGTATAGTATGCAAATCCTTGGTAAAAGTAATGAAACTAATTATTGCATTATTAAACCCAATTAAATAATTATAAAAGCTACCTATGATAATGATTTTAATAACTAAGTAAATGCAAAGTTTTTTCCTAGATGGTAGAATTAAAACAAAAAAAGCTGTCAAAAATAATAGCAAAAGAAGGTGACATGAACAAATAAAATTAAATCAAACCTATATATTAATTACTGTAATCACAAATTGGAATGTTTACTTACCTATCTATTACTTATTTTTTTTGTTTAATTAGTTATTGTGTTATTATAAATGTCATGTAAAGGCAGGACATGGGCTTCGTTTTGTTTGAAAATGAAGTGTATACAAGCATACAAATTAAAATTAAGTTAGAATCACAAAAAAATCAAATAAGGTATACACAATTTTAATGTTAAACGTTAAAAAATGTTAATTCTTGCATCTAGGAAAAAAAACTTTGCATTTACTAAGTTATTAAAACAAATTAAAATCGTTATTTTAGGTAGCTTTTATAATAATTTAATTGGGTTTAATAATTCATTAATTAGTTTCATTACTTGCACTTAATCAAATTAACAAATAGGGTTATGAAAGGAGGGATAAGCAATACTCACAGTCAGCAACCTGTACTTATATTTCCCCTATCTTTTCATTTAACAATATTTATTTGCTTTGGATGTTGTATATTATGGATAGGATAAATATAATTTCAATGATAGTTAGTATAAGGTAAGAACTTATAACGTTTTTGTTTGTGTATTAAGTTGAATAAAGTTGATGGTGGTCAGGTCAAGTTGTTATTACCTTTGAAATATTGTCTTCCAATTTGTTTATTATCAGTATAAAAAAAACTTTATAATTCGACTTGGTTTCAAATAAGAAGTCAATCATACCCATAATAAAAATGTATTTAGCATTTTTACATTGGTCAGGACATATATATATATATATATATAGTCACGGCAAAGTCGGTGTTGGTCAGGTTAAGTTTTTTTTATCCTTAAAATATTATTTTTCCAATTTTTTTCGAATAATTATTAAAAATATGTTATTATCTTGCTTCGTTTAAAATTTGAAGTCAATCCTTCCTATAATAAAAAAGTATGTAGCAGTTTCAAATAGGTCAGGACATTAGTCAGCAAAAGTCAAAATTGGTCAGGTCAAGTTTTCCAACTCTTAAAAATATTTTTGTTTTATTTTTTACTTGTATTAATTAAATTAATGTTGTCATCTTGCTTGGTTCCAAATTTAAAGTCAATCCTTTTAAAAATAAAAAAGTAATAAGCATTTTCATATCGGTCAGGACATTAGTCAGTAAAAAGTCGAAGTTGGTCAGGTCAAGTTTTCTAACTCTTAAAAATATTTTTTTTAAAATTTTTTTCTTGTATTAATTAAATAAATAATGTCATCTTGCTTAGTTCCAAATTTAAAGTCGATCCTTTTAAAAATAAAAAAAAGTAATTATCATTTTCATATCGGTCAGGACAATCGTCAGGACATTGTCAGGTCATTAGTGTAACCCTTGATTTATAAATGAATAGGTGTAGGGACTGTTTCCCATGTGTAGTAGATACTTAGCCAGCCGTAAGTGGTTGTGCTAGGGAAGCACTTCTTTAGCTCAGTCTGTTGGAGCTTTGACATGAAACACAGAGGTAAAGGGGTTGATATCAGGATTTAGAATAAGGGTGAGGGGGTGGCAAACCAAGGTAATTGTAGAAATGGACTTGTCGAAAGACATCTATGCATTAACCTTATAAGTAACTACATTAGGACCCCCTTCCCATTTATCCATTTCACATAATATATGTTATTTTACTACTTGTTTCACTACTATGGATCCACTCTGGTTTAATTACAATACAACGGTGGGAAGAGGAAAAAGTTGTACTAAGTATAACATGGGAGGTATATAAAGTTTGTCTTACTTGATCATATTAGTTCATCTTGTCTTATCGATGCTGCCAATCAATTTTGAGTTGCAGGTTTGAATCCTGCTGGTTCCATTGAATTTTTAACACAAAGTATTTAATAGATATAAGAAGATGTGGTATGAGTGCCAATGAGACAACTCTCCATCCAAGTCAAAATTTATAAAAGTAAACCATTATAGGTCACAGTACGGTCTTCAACACGGAGCCTTGGCTCACACCGAACAGTAAGCTATAAAGGGCCCCACAAAATTACTATTGTAAAACCATTCAAACGGGAAAACCAACGGCCTAATCTATATAAAAAACGAGAAACGAGAAACACTTATGAACCACATCAACAAACGACAACTACTGAACATCAGATTCCTGACTTAGGACAGGTGCAAACAACTGCAGCGGGTTTAAACGTTTTAATGGTACCAAACCTTCACCCTTTTTCTGAAACAATAGTGTAACATCACAACATAGAAAGACACACTATAAAATATCAACTGAAATAGCTTAACTCAATCAAAGGACATATTAACACCATTGAACATACACTGAACAAATAAATTTGACCTATGACACAATGTAAATTCAAAATAAATAAACTAAGGGAAGAATAATAAAAGTAACATATTATATCGGTAAGAAATGTTAAACAATTAAAGAAAAACAATATGCTCGAACAAAAATACCATCCATTTGCAATAACTTTAAACACAGGTAAATGAAAATAATTTTGTTGTTAGGTATACGTGTACAGTACCAATAGAGAAAGGAAATATTTTTACAAAATAAATAATTTAGATTACAAGATAAATAAACTAAGGGAAGAATAATAAAAGGCTGCACTTATTAAATGTTTCATTTTCTCAGTATGTTGCCCCATAGATGTCTTTTTAAAAAAAATTGTCAAAGGGTGCATGACTATTTCATTTACATGTACATCTCATCATGTGTTTACAGTTTCATTTTGTAGTACATATCCTATTATACATATAACCTTATATATACTTTCATTAGACATGGGTCCAGGATTTGAGGTTAGTGCAGTGGGCCCCTTAGAAGAGAGTAGGAATGCCCTTTACCGTCAGGCATCAAACGGTCATTTTCGGCTACCGTTAGCGTCAAATTGGTTTAAATTTTACCGTGATTCGTCAAAATACCCTTATCATGATTCGTCAAAGGTCTGAAATAATTATGGTTACCGTTATTTTTGGAAAAAATTTAACGTGATTCGTCAAAATCAGTTGATTTTTTTACCGTCTTAAAGAAAGGGTATATTTTATCGTCATGCACTACAAATGACCGTTAACGTCATTTGGCAAGATTTTTTACTGTGTTATTCGTCAGGAAGGTACCCCCATCAAGACCCTCTTAGAATTCTGCTATGTTAGGCCAAAAATTTTAAATGAATTTATTTCTGATTATAAGATGTGCTTGGGTGCATGTGTGTTTGCATCAGACATGCCACACCTATACCTGCTCTACTCATGCATAAAGCATAGAAACACTCATATTTCGTTCATAAACTTAATCTTTTGCAAAGGAAATAGCAGAGATGTTTTGATGTTTTTGTCTTTGAAATAAATATTACCAGATAATATGACACAAATACTATACTTATTTGAAGGTATAATAATGCCATCTTTTTTGGCCTTTTGAATTCGATAATGATTTTTTTTTTATAAATCTATCAAATAGCATCCTTCAAATGTTCATTAGACAATAAGTCTATTAGATACAGTGTATAAGCAATTTTCTCTTATGGTTGTGGCCTGTTATCTATTTCTTGCATGAAGAGATATTTCTCGTATCACACTGAACGGAGTGTGATACTAAAAAGTGATACGAAAATCTGTGTTGATTTGATTGGCTTATCCAGCATCATGAGACGATATAACG